CACACACACACACACACACACACACACACACACACACACACACACACACAGAGAGAGAGAGAGAGAGAGAGAGAGAGAGAGAGAGAGAGAGAGGCCAGGTATGACTTGCCGTGAGCTGGACGGGGTGCTATTGAGTTGTATGCCCCAGTAGCAGGTCACTGTCACTATCCAACAATTGCTCTAACCAAGATATTGATGCGGATCATACCACTAATTCGGGCATTCACTGTGGCTCGGGAAAGAGATGGACGATTGAAACGCCGCCTGGGTGTAACATTAAAGACACCGTCATGTACGGAGGTTAACTGACAAGGGACACTTTTTGGAGTGGATGCAGTTGAACTGGACACGAAAGAGGGGCATAGTGTCAGTTTTTCCTCACTCAACGTCGAAAAAAGAAGAGGATAACGCAGAGGAGGTATCACACATGGTCTACACTTCATACCTTTCCCCCTCCTAGAAAGATTTTTGTTTTTGATGAGAAATGGTTGCTCTGCACTGTCTACAGTTCGCGGGAGATTCTATTATTGTTTGCTTCCGAACCGATCTTTCAAGCCGTGAGGTAAGTTCACATCTGTCAGAGTCATTTTTCATGTTGTGCCAATTACATTTTCTTTTCTATAAAATAGAAACAGGGGTGTTACCTTCCATGTTTGCCATTGTCTTTTGAATGAAAAAAAAGAAAAATGGTTCAAAAACCTGAACGTTGTGGAAAGAAATCAGGAAAGACTTTTTAGAATTTGCATTGCTTGGACGCTGGGTGAGAGGTGGGTATACGAAAGAGCAGAAGAACACTTGCCATCACTCACAGTCCAGAAATGATGATGAGACAAAAAACACTTACAATCACTGAATATCCTGAAAGGATGATGTGATGAGACTGGTTCCAGTTTGCAACAATGTGCCGAGCACTGTGGGTTCGCGTTGGACAGGAATTGTCAGGATGGTCTCGTCACAACCATAACTGGTTGATGCCATCATTTCTGCCAAAATGACAGAAAAGTTGATGAAGACTGGCAGCCTTTACACTGACGATTGACATTGCTCTCTGCTGGACTGGCAGAAACACTGATGAAAACCACTGGCATTTGTCTTGTGGCGATATGGACTGTGGTCCTTCCTGGAGCATAGTACTCCAAGTCCGGAGTGGGCTAAGGAGTGACCACGTGCACTGGGACTTTGATTGTGGGATCAATGGGATCAATATATATATATGGTGGGCATGCTCAATGCCAGCCGTCGTGGCAATTGTTGTGCTGAGAATGCTCAGCTAGGTCCTCCATGTGCCCATCCACCTCATCTTTACAATGTGTCCTCTCTGTCGTCAAGGACAGACTCGTTCTTTGTTTTTCTCCTCTTCATCTCTCTTCCGTGTGTTTATCACCGCCCCTTTCTCACAGCGTACAAGTGGGCCGTTATGGCACTCGGGGATGGGGGCAGCTCGTGCTCAACTTCATCAACGTGGTGAGCCTTGTACGTGAGAGGCACGGTGAAGGTGGAGTTGAAAGAAGAATGAGAATAATAATGGTTTCAGTATGCCCCTCATCTTTACTGTTTGTTTCGTAATAGTTATGTGACAATAATACACAGAATATGAAACTCCGACGAAACAGTTTGTCACAGCCCCTCATTTGTTGTCCTCTTCTCCCTCTCTGCCTACGGTTTACCGGGCAGCTCTGTTTGGCGATATATATTGTCAAACAGAGCTGCCCGGTAAACCATAGGCAGAGAGGGAGAAGAGGACAACAAACGAGGGGCTGTTCTCATAACTACCTTCAGGTAACCCAGCGATTGCCTGCATACTTGCTGCATTGCAAGGCATTACGATTGTCGCCTATTTATGGTCACAATTTCTTCAATTTCGTTGTACACGATTTCTGCAATTTTATTGTACTGTTTGTACATGAAAGGATTTCACGCTTCAGGCCAGTTCCCAGTCCACTCCCAGATGTCCGAAGGTCCCAAGTCCCATGTACTATACTACAACCGACAGTCCCTGAAGCCGAAACACCGATTAGGACCCTCATGGGTCGGTAGGAGTCCTTAGGTCGGTGAAAGTCCGCTAGGTCAATAGGAGCAGATACCCGACAAAAGTCCGAGGCCAAAAATAGCGGCAGCATCCAGGAAAAGTCTGGAGGCTTCCAGAACTGACAAACAATTGTGGCCGGCAGGCCCTGGAACCGTTACTGGTCTGAAGGAAATCAAGATTGCCAATTGCAGCAGCTACAAAAGGCTGCTACAGTACCTAAGAGACACACTCGTTCATTTGGATGTTGGGGAAGTGCTGCTGGTTGCTTGTGTGACTCTTTGAGTGTCTTGGTCGTGCGCGTTGGAGTAGACAGGGGCGCTGTGCGCCATAGCTAGGGCTTGGTTTGATGAGGAAAGAGGGCACTGAGTAGTAGGGAGTGAGGGAGAGAGAGGCCGAGAGTATTCAGAGAGAGTATGATCTAGAAAGAGGTAACAGGAGAGAGAGAGAGAGAGAGAGAGAGAGAGAGAGAGAGAGAGAGAGAGAGAAGCAAGCCTGTGTGGACCGTTAGCCATAGCCGCCTTGTGCTTGCATTCTGAACTATTGTGATAATTTTGTAAATTGTTATAATGATTTCATGTTCTATTTGATCTCTCTCTCAATGTTGGCCTCACAAGTTCTTGTGTGAACTTGGCATGCATATATGGATGTGAATTGAGTGTCAAACTGAGTGGAATCATTGCATCCATAATTTCTTCAATTTCATTCTTTACGTGTTTGTGAAGCATCATTGCATCCATAATTTCTTCAATTTCATCCTTTACGTGCATTTGTGAAGCACCAGGGCTTCCTGGTGTAACTGACTGGCAGCAGTCCCTAGGTGCAGGCATGAAAGGTGAAGGATCTGGCAGTTTCTGAAAAGGTAAGGCCAGGACAAGCTGAGGGAAGGACAGTGCACCCTAGGTCCCAGAAGGCCACGGCTACATCTAGAGAACGTGGAAGGCGGTGCCTACCGGCCAACCGCTACCCCGGCTACCTGGCTGGAAGTAAGGGCGAAGGTTGGGCAAAGACAATCCAGTTGTGCAGAGAGAAGCAGCACTCATGGCATCACCCTGAGAATGAGGAAGCAGGCAGTGCCAGCCATAGGTGGGCATGCAGGAAGGGGGGGGGGGAGAGAGAGAGAGAGAGAGAGAGAGAGAGAGAGAGAGAGAGAGAGAGAGAGAGAGAGAGAGAGTCGGTGAAAGGAGGGGATGTTCTTGGCAGAAGGGGAAGGCAGTGGGTATAGAGAGTTGCTGAGGTGCTCAGCTGGTGTTTGCCAAGAAGAGCTCCAAAATGATATGTTCTTCAGTCAGTATTGGTGGGAGCAGCATTATACGGTGTGACATTGTGCTTTGCCGTGGTGTAGGCTAGGGTAGAAGATAGTGTAGGTGATCACATTAGCAAGTAGAGGATTGCCCAGCAAGAGTAGAGATCTCTTCTTGGGGCTTTTTGTTATGAAGAGACTTCAACATTGTCAATTCTTGTGTTCATTGCATTGTCATTTGCGGTAGTCACCTGGTCGCCATATGCATGCTGGTCAAAAGAGTTATTCTGCTTGTAAGTTGAGTTTGTATTTTCCTTACATACCTCTTTTCCTAATTGTGGGTGCACAGACAGATGCAAGTTGTGCTTTGCGAGCAGCATCATGTGGGTTCGAACTCATTTCCACTCTGGGCTCGTACACTCCCCAGGTATGAACCATGCTGTTATGACTGTGTTTCTTATCCTCGTTTCTTTCTCCTTGTTCATTCCTTTGTTTTTCCTCTTGCGTCTGTGACTCCGTACTGGTTTCCTTTGCAGTTTATTGTTAGAGTCGTTCTGGACGGCAGGGTCTGGGATCCCCCTTCCTGGGTGATTTGCAGGTGATTGTTTCATGCCCATGTAGTTAGTCAGGGCCCTGTAAGCCAGCCTTAGTGCTGCATGACTACCTGTAGCACAAGGTGGGTTGTTTTCGTGGTTATTTGTTTACTGAGCGCCAGGTTTGCATGCATGAATGACTGTTCCAATGTGATACCCTAGCGGTCATATGTTCTAGATTGCCCAAGTCCCATGGCATGAGATTGTGGGGCTACCATGACTACTAGATTTCAGAATCGGGTTGTCGTGAATAGCCCTCAATTTCCACTCCTTTTGGTAATTATGGGTTTATTGCAGCCACATATCTACAATGTGTTGTGACCACGCATTCATCTGCAGTGGGAGCTGCCGGGTGCATTCACTGGCTGCTGAAGAGGACCAATAGTGGAAGATATCTGTAAGTGTAATACACATTGAGAAGTCACCACTGAATGTAAGCTGCGGGGCTAAATACAAGTTTGAAAGTCTGCCTGCTCTCCTGTCACCTGCCAACCCCCCCCCCCCCCCCCCATCCTCCCGCCTGCTCGCCCACCCACCAGCCCGCCTGCCTGCCTGCATTCCCATCCACCTGCCCATCCTTCCGCTTGCCTGCCTGCCTGCCTGCCTGCCTGCTTGCCTGCTTGCCTGCTTGCCTGCCTGCATGCATGCCTGCCT